TGTTGCTGAAACATGTTGTGAAGTGACAGGTGAAATTGAGTGCACTACAAGACAGCCACTGTATACATATCATGGATGAAAATCAGTACAACAGGACGCTAAAATATAACATTATGAATGGCAAAACATATTTTACATAATTTATTTGCTAGTTGATGAGTATGTGCAGTCCACCTTAGATTCTTATCCAACCAAACTCCCAAAAANACTGGTATCTCTTTAATATACTGTGGCAACTGATGTAACATATGAAGTCCAATATTATTGAAATTCTTTTTGTATAGACTCATATTACATGGCACTATGAACAGGTCATCTTTTCTCCTTGTATTGTGCAAGTGTATGCCTGAATTGGTTATGAAAACATTCAAATTGGTTTTTATGTAAACTAGAATTTCTTGTAGTATATACAGACATGGTAAAGGTAATATATGTAACGATTTAAAAACACTAGCAGCTAAGAAGGGAACACACATCACAAGACGCGGTTTACACAGAAAATAAGAAAAACGACCCCGTAGTGAACGAACCACATGCAAGTTTTAATTAAGACAAATAAGATGAATTATCTTAACAAGTTTTAGCGAGTGTAAATTTATCATAGTTGACAAATACGGACTTTTTAAATACTTTTTAAATGGTGTTGTGAAAACATATGAGGGCAAGCAATGCAATAGATTGACGTAATTGGGACACCTGATGATGGCACTGTGTTGCTGAAACATGTTGTGAAGTGACAGGTGAAATTGAGTGCACTACAAGACAGCCACTGTATACATATCATGGATGAAAATCAGTACAACAGGACGCTAAAATATAACATTATGAATGGCAAAACATATTTTACATAATTTATTTGCTAGTTGATGAGTATGTGCAGTCCACCTTAGATTCTTATCCAACCAAACTCCCAAAAATTTTGTATGCTCTGTATAATTGATGACTGTATCATAGAGCTTTACTGATGGGCATTCAACTTGTACTTTTTGAGGTTGAAGAAAGGATATTGCTGTTGTTTTTTCTTTATTAATAATTAATTTATTCCTTTCAAACCACTATGTGAGTGCATTTATTGTTTTATTTATTTTCCTTTGGGCATCATTAGCACTATTGCCTGTTATAAGAATACTAGTATCGTCAGCAAAAATAAACGTTGATCTTCCATGTTCAATGCCGGCTTCTAGATCATTGATATATAGCAAAAACAACACTGGTCCGAGAACAGAACCTTGTGGGACTCCATGTCCTGTGTGTCTCTTTCGCGATAGATAGCTAGTGATTTCATTAGTTTCTTTACATCTGTATGTAATTTCCACTTTTTGTTCCCGGTTTTCTAGATATGATTGAAACCATTTTAGTGCAACCCCTCTTATTCCCATTCTTGTCATCTTCCTTAGCAATATATCATGATCAACTCAGTCAGATGCCTTTGACAGATCCAGAAATGTCCCTATACTTATTTGCCTCTCATCCAATGATTTGTAGACCTTTTCTATAAACTCTGCAGTTGCAGTATTTGTTGATTTCCCTTTACAGAAACCATGCCGTTTATTGTTAATTATGCTGTAATTATTCAAAAATGATAAAAGTCTTTTCTGTATGATTTTTTTCTATTATGTTTCAAGAAACAGAAATTAGTGAAACTGGTCTATAATTCCAAACTTCTGTATCACATCCTTTCTTATACAAAGGTTTCACTTTTGCAATTTTTAGTTGATCAGGAAAATGCCCAGTTGAGAGTGACAGAGTTATTATATGTGTCAAAGCAGTTGTTATTTTAGGATAACATTTCTTAATAATATACTGTGACATGTTGCGCAATGGAAAAACCCTCCCCCCCAGCAGTGACGTGGCGGGTGAGTCAGCGCTCCNNNCCCCCCCCCCCTCTGCATGGTGACTTATCACGCAACGCAGCTGTGACACGGGTAACAGCCAACAGCAGTACCGATTGCGTAACAGGCAAGCACTGTGACTATATAAGTGAACCACACTGCCTATGAGTTGAGTTGAAATATAGCAGCAGTCGCGGTAAGAAGACTCGAAAGCATGGTTACAAGATTTTATGTGACAGTGTGCGATAACTAAGAAGTCAGCGAGTGGAAGACTTATTGTGTGCTTTCAAGACTTTGTGTGTGCTGTAGTACAGTTATATTTGGAGTGTGTAATTCAGAGAGACTTGTATAGCTCATCTATTCCCGTTGATTTTTTATTACTCAATCCTTTAATTATGCCTGCCACTTTTTTGATATATTTTCAGCTACTGGTCATATGTATATGTTGTCCCTCCATCTGCAACTCAAGTAAACACCATATTGTCATGATAACATGGAATATAATGCCATGAAAAAAAAATAAATGATGTATATAAGAAAGCCTACACCCAGGTATTTTCCTGGGGCGTAAAGGGCGGCCGGCTCATAAGGCTGAAAACCTTACCGCCATCTGTGAACTGATTGTCTATAAGATGTGGGAGCCTCAATGTTTCACAACCCTATGGGCCTTCATGGCCTATTACAGGTATAGCTTTACCTTTACCTCCGTATTTCTCCCTAATTTACATTTGAAAAAATCGGTTAATTTTTAAACCAATCTCCCTTGGATCTGGAACTCACTGAAGCCCCAGAATTGCATGCCTAATTGATCATGAATGTTTGGAACTATGAGGGGGGACCCAAAAATAACCGGAAACGACCTGTTGCGCGCGCATGCTTTGTAGTTACGAGTTGTGCTGCTAGGTGGTGTTAGCTAGGGGTCTCCCGCGACTGTTAGTGAGCTGGAATCAGTCTGAGTTAAGTGGTTTGTCTGTGGTGCTCTGTTGTGCGCGTTCCTGTTTCAACCCTTTGGCGNAGGCTTGCCGAAGCATCCCAACAGTCTCGGCTGCAGTTTTCCCTAACAGAAAGCAAAATTTCACGCACACTCTTTGTTCCTTCTGGTCGGCCATCTCACTAATCGCCAAAGGGTTGAAACAGGAACACACACAACAGAGCACCACAGACAAACCACTTAACTCAGACTGACGCCAGCTCACTAACAGTCGCGGGAGACCCCCAGCTAACACCACCTAGCAGCACAACTCGTAACTACAAAGCGTGCGCGCGCAACAGGTCGTTTCCGGTTATTTTTGGGTCCCCCTTCGTATTTTACAACCATAGAAATGTCATATGTAACACACATGTACCTTGGCTTTACATGATGGTAATTTGTGACTTATGAATATGAATGTTTCAGTGAGACTGCAGATGATACGGCCATTGACCATTTTGATCTGGCTAGTCTATATCTACCTATTCTGGAAAGTCGGTGATCCATTCCCCATATTGAGCCCCAAGCAGGGGATCTTGTCCATTGAGCAAGGCATCAGCCGCATAGGAGTCATTGGTGTCACTGTTATGGCTCTTCTTTCAGGCTTTGGTGCTGTTAATTACCCCTACACATCCATGGCTTATTTCATGAGGTGATTATATCATGTAGAATAAGTTGTGTTTGCTAAACCTTCTTCTTTGGTTATACAAATTTTTATATACTCTGCACAAAATGCATAAGATGGTCATGTCTGTCTGTCTGTCTCTGAGTTTTTTTCTCTTAAACTGCTGAATATAGCTTAAATAATTTGATACCAGCAGGGAAGAGGCTTTATTGAAGTTTGTGTGAATTGAATTCTAGTCCATGTCAGCACATTGTAACTCCTACTTTATATGATATTTAGATTGATTTTTTTCAGATTAATTGAAAGGATGTACTTCAAGAAATTAATGCTTGACATGAAATATATATTTTATGTGGAACATCTTTGTTGCGGTGCATGCTTTACAGAGCACAAGAAATCAATAATTTTTCCCTATATGTAGTGTCGATTGGTTTCTTTAACAGACAAATTTGTGATTGTTCATTGTAATAGCTCTGCTGTTGTTTAGCTCTGTCAGAAATAAATAAATGAATGTGAAGTTTAAAGGGAGATGCAAAATTAGGAAAATTACCATGTTTTAAGTTGTGTCCTTCCAAATTTGAACATCACTCTGCACTCTTATGGTTAGTAAGCTTGGCACTGACAAGAGAAGAAAAGCACGTCCATCACTGGATGTACCATATGTAGTTAGGTAAGTGCTCTTTAATTCTGTTTTGCACTATAAATATTAAAACCAGTGGTGTAGCATGACTATGAATTTTGGGTACTCAGATTTAGAACAAAATCACTATATCTACACACACAATGATATGTCAAATTTTGTCCGCATACACACAAATAATTCTTCATCTTTTATGATTTTTGGATTATGCATGCTTCACGGCTTTCTTCTTCTGAAGAAGAAGTAGTTTGATATATGCTCTATATCAAGTGTTCCATGATGCTAAGCCACTGGTTAAGACAAGATGGAGCACTTACCATCATAAGGAGCTAAAGGTGTGTAAAAAAATGTAAAACTGTCCCTGTAACAAACCATGGAGATCCATAGGGTTGTGAGAGGTAGTTCCCACATTTTTTAGACAGTTGGCTCACAGATGGAGGTAAGGTTGTCAGCCTTATGTGCTGGCTGCCCTTTATCCCCCCAGGAAAATTCCTGGTACTCATTTCTGTTACAGGCTGAGCTGACCCCAGGACCACAGTGCACCTGGAAGGATTAGGTAAATTGAAAAAATCCAGTGACCCCATTGGGAATTGAACCCATGACCTTCCAGCTTGTAGCATAGTGCCTCAACCAACTATACTACCAAATGCCCCCAAAAGTAGAAAGTACATCATAAAATTTTGGTCCCTACTGCAAGCTTCTCTCCAGACAGTCTTTTCTACCTTTACCTACTATTGTACAGGGTGGTGCAAGAAATGATCCAGTATTCGATCTATTAATAAAATCCTTATTTCAATCATAATACTTAAAACTAACATACAAAAAGAAAAACCATTACACAGAGATTTATTCTGTGTGAATCAAATGTTCATTATGACCACCATTACGTCTGGCAATTTTTTCAACACAAACTGTGATGTTGTTGATTACCCAACGGCACATATCTTGTTGCATGCTCTCAATTCCATATTGAACACTTGATTCACAGAGGGCAAATCTCCATGCAGTGGTCTTTCTTTTTGTATGTTAGTTTCTAGTATTGTCATTGAAATAAAGATTTTATTAATAGATCACATTCTGGATCATTTCGTGGGCCACCCCGTAAATGTTGAAAAAGCAGTCCAGACTGATGTTTGCAGTTTCTTTGCCATTTCCCAGCTGAATTTTGAAGTAGGAAAATATTTGAGTAGGAGAGTTAAATTGAATATTTGTTCCACAATAATACAGTTTCTGAATTTTGAAATGTTGTAAATTTAGGTAGAATATATTGCTTGTAGTAAGCTATAATAGTTTACTTGCGGACTAAAAAACACGGAGTTTTTTGTGAGAAAATTTTTTAATATGAATTTTATAAACTACATAAACTACCTTGTCTTTGTATTATTGCTATTATGATGAACATAATATGATTAGTCATTAGCTACTGTGTTAGTCCATGGTTACAGTTCAAACCCCAGAATGTATAAAAATATGTGCAGTGTATTTCACTTATGTATTTTTCATACCATGCTTCTATTTCCAGGCCTGTTATGCCATCTGATATTCAGGCAATCGAGAAGCGATTGATGCAGACTATGGACATGATCCTTGTGAAGAAGAAACGCATAGCTTTAGCCAAGAAAGGCTCAGTTGTAAATGGACCACAAAATACCCAGGGCAGTTCTGGGATTTGGGGAATGTTGAAGACAGTCACAACATCTGTCAGCAAAGGGACTGGGGAAAGTATCCTTTCTTCAAGATAAGGTGTTCACAGTTGAGAGAATATGATCTGGTTTTAGTCTTTCTTTGGTGTCATACATAAGACCCATAGTACCTCAGATGAATGTTAGTTCATCCCTTTCTTCCTCCTCATCCAATGGATTAGGCCCTCTGACCTTTTTTCTTTTGAAAATTAATCTGAAAACTGTGAATCTAACAGACATTTCATGGGGCTCCTTGAATGGGGGATCAGTCTGTCACAAGGTTGCTACCAACACAGGACAACACTGACACAGAAAGAATGCAGATCTGCATCCATGCCTTGAGTGGCATTCAGACCCATGATCGCAGTGTCTGAGGAGGCGAAGACATCTTGTGCCTCGTGCAACTGTCAAACCATGTGCAGTTAAATGGACTTATCAAGAACAATCAGACATAATTTTGATGGCTGCTGCATAACTACAGGAGCCGGTATAGCGACTGGCTATGGGCTGTACAACCAAAGGATCAGATTTCGAGTCCTGGTAGGGTCAAGAATTTTCTCCATGTCATCCAGACTGGCTCTGGGGTCCACCCAACCTACTATTCAATGAGTACAGGGAGCTTACTTTTACAGGGGGTAAAAGCAGGCGGGGTGTGAAGATGACCATTCACCTCCAACTAGTGCCAAAACCAAGAAAATATGGATCTATACATCCACTCCCCCATACACCTTCATGGCATTACCTTTTACTGCATAATTACAGAAAACTACAATTTACAGACAAAAGTAGGAATTAAAATTTAAGCACAAAATCTTTTGCAGACATCAGTCTGTAGAAGTTTTAGAACACTCATTTTCTATCTCTGTCCTTGACATAAAACAACTTGCTTTTTAGTCTGCATCAGAAAATGTTCAAGAATTGCAATTGTAGGATCTTTTATTTTCATCCTCATGGGTACTGGATCAGTATCTTATTTATTCCATGCAAGTTAAAAGCGTTTCCTTAATAAAGTTTCTTGAGATATTTGGCAGCTGAAGCAGGAGATTGCGGCACTGGAGGAATTGAGCCGGCAGCTGTTTCTGGAAGCACATGATATGCACATTATGCAGGAACGATTGCAGTGGGCCTCAACTTTTCAGGGGAAATACTTCAACTTTCTGGGCTACTTTTTCTCTCTCTACTGCATGTGGAAGATTTGCATAGTAAGTCCAGTACTTTAAACTATAGTGATTTTACATGTTAAAGTGCTGTGGCTTGAAACAAAAATCTTACCTTGTTCATAGTGACTAATTGGTTGAATTTGCTTCTAATCTTTTTAACACAGTTACAGTTCATTAAAACTAACCAAAAAAATCGGAGTTCTGAAATAAGGTTTTTTACATTAACATGCAACACCTCAGTTTGTCCACTTTATTTTATTTGAATTTGAAAAGCAATGTATTCATTCTGACGCTCAACAGGAATGCTATTTGGATAAGTTTGCTGAAGATTGAAATTATGCTGTACTGCCATATCCAGTTATTGACATAGGAGTTTTCACAGTAGTGAAAATTCATATTAGGGTTTTCTGGGCCACGATGCCATATAGTCTAATAGGATTACCCTGAAGATCGAGGCAGTATGTTCCTTAAAATTAAGTAAACATCTACCAGGCCACATAGTATCATACATAACCCAACAGATCACACTGTAAGATCCAGATTTTTTATATTTTGTTTGAACAGTAAGTTACTGTACCCAGTCCTGTACTGAGCCAGAACATTTCTTGCTGATCTCATTTCAAGTGACAGCAACTCTGAAGTCTTTTAAGAATGATGTCTCACAGAATGATAACATAAAAAACTCTGAAATCATATTAATACCTCCCCAGTGTGTCCATTTTCCTCCATAGCTTTTGTGCACCTTTTGCTTATAAATCTTCATTACTGCAGATTCTAATGGTCATCTTTCTTCTGTCTTAAGCAAGCTCTTTCTCATTTCAGTTTAGAGAATTCTATCTGCTGTAGTGAACATAGTGTGAATTTTGCCCAGGATGAACTTGGGCTTATGAAGTTTCATGCTATAATTATTAGGAAATTGAAAATTAAGAGCCTTAATTGCCGGTCACAGTAGCCGAGTGGTCTAAGGCATGTACTGTCTTTGCTCGCTTGGAAACTGGGATCATGGGTTCGAATCCCACTCAGGGCATGGATGTTAAGTTTGTGTGTGTGCATTTTCTGTGTTTGTGTACAGGTAGAGGCCTTGCGACAAGCTGATCACCTGCCCAAGGATTCCTACCGAATGTGTAAGATCTAGGAAAACCTAAGTGAACTGAGAAGTTCATGGAGGTAGGCCCAGGCCCACTGGGGCTGTAGTGCCAAGAAAAACAAAAAAAAAGAGCCCTAATCAGTATGTGTACAGAATTCATTTGGATCACTATAGTTTAAGTTTTCTTCTTTTTGCAGTCAACCATCAACATCGTTTTTGATCGTGTGGGAAAGAAAGATCCAGTTACACGAGGTATGGAAATAGCAGTTCACTGGGTTGGAATCAATATTGATGTAACATTTTGGTCTCAACACATATCCTTCTTTTTGGTGGGCTGCATTGTGGTCACCTCCATCCGAGGGCTTCTGCTTACTCTCACCAAGGTATATACAGAAGATGGCATTCTACATAGTCACCGTTGTGAAAACCTCAAATCCTACAAAGTATATACAATTCGGTTCAAAAGCTTTAATGAAGTGAATCAGACAAACTCCAAAGAGAAGTAAACATATGTAGGATTTGAGGTTCTTACAGCAGTAGTTATGAAGAGTACTATATTCTGGGATAGAACACCATGTAGTCTGTTGAAAGTAAACAGATGTTTTTGAGGAACACATCACCTTAATTTTCAGGGTTGAATTAGCCAAGTAAGATACCAGTGTAGGCTGCGTCAAGGTTGTGGGTTCATTTCCCGATGAGATCATTGGATTTTTTAAATTTACCTAATCCTTCCAGCCGCACTATGGCCCTGGGGTCGACTCAACCTCTAACAAAAATGAGTACCAGGAATATATCTTGAGGTTTAAGGGCAGCCAGCACATAAGGCTGACAACCTCACCACCATCTGTGACCCAACTGTCTAGAAGATGTAGGGACCTCGACTTCTCACAAACCCTACAGGCCTTCACAGCCTGTTACAGGGACAGCTTTACCTCCCCCCCCCAAGTGGTGTTATATTACCCCTTATCTGAGGATTTACTTTGTTCCTGGTTGTATCCCTATGAGATATGAGGACGTCAGAGTAGTGACTCTGAAGATGGCTGTCTGGGCCTACTCTTCTGAACTGAAAATAGAGGCAGCACATTTCTCTGAAACATCAGTAAATGTCTACCAGACTATGTGGCATCACATCCCAAAGGCAGTAACATGCATGTGTGTTAAATGTTTTATATTGTTAATACTTTGTGTCACTGTTTGTTACAGTTCTTCTATGCCATTTCGAGCAGTAAGTCATCAGACATCATTGTGCTTGTTTTGGCACAAATTATGGTGAGTAAAGTACTGACCGAGTTGACTGTTTTCCAACCAGCATTGTACAGGTATTGCAATGACTTCACGCTTTCCAGTCTTATTCCATACATCACCCCCCCCCATCCCCCGTGTTCTGAATATTCTGTTCCTGCTGATAAATGTGTAGTGTATCTCAGTGGTTGAGTTTTATATTTCAGGCTTTTGCTTTTGGTGGTGGCACTGAACTGTAACAGACTGTAAGAATCTCTGAAACATCAGCAGCACAACCCAGCTCTACTCATTGCCACCTTGCAAACGCAGAATCAGTCTCCCCATACCCCCTCCCTCAGAAAGAGTGAACATGCTATTTTTGTTGAGTGTGCAAGAATTAAACTGTACTAGTTACTATTAATAGTGCGTAATCTTATCTTATGGATCATATTTCCATCATTGCTAGCCCCTACCATCAGAGAGAAATTTCATGCAGCAATAAGATGAAGTATACTTGCATATGGAGGAATAAATCCCTGGCGTATTGACCTATTGATCTGTGAAATGTATTTATTCTTAACTTCATTCTGATACACTGACTTGTTAGAATGTTGATTTTGTCTATTCAAGATATGTACTTCAGTGATGTACGTATGTGGAAGTATATAATTATATTGTTGCAGGGAATGTACTTTGTGTCATCAGTCTTGCTGATGAGGATGAACATGCCAGCAGAGTACCGAACCATTATCACCCAAGTGTTGGGGGAACTCCAGTTTAATTTCTACCATCGCTGGTTTGATGTTATCTTTCTTGTGAGTGCCCTGTCATCAATTGGTTTCCTGTACTTGGCACACAAACAAGGACCGGGAGAGGCTGGATAGCCAGAACCGCAGCTGTCAGCTTGTATTTAAATCTTGTTCAGAGATAATAAGACAAGATACTGGGTCAGATCAAGAATTTCTGGAACTTCTGGTATAGGGAAGGTCAAAATTATGAATCCCTTCAAAGTAGTCACCCTCTGAAGAAAGCAGTCTTCTGGGATTTGGCACCATGTATATGTGGTGTTAACCGACGTTTCGGAGGAACATATCGCCTCCATCTTCAGGGTAGAAGAAAAAATATAAGAAATCTGCAAGCAAAGAGACCGTGAGAAACGGTAAAATGGAGGCGATACGTTCCTCCGAAACGTCGGTTAACACCACATATACATGGTGCCAAATCCCAGAAGACTGCTTTCTTCAG